CACTTTGTTCAAGGTATTTTACCTCATTCCATCACAAATCTGAAAGAATTTTTAGATCTGTTTCAGAACACACATGAACAGTCCATCACCAGCTGTTAAATCTTTTTCCCCACTGTTTTCTTCTGAAATCCATTTCAAGCCAGGCAGATTTCTGCTGCATATGTGGGGGGACAGAGGAAACAGACCCTGATTCTCAAGATCAAGCAACATCCAGTACAGAGGCTTCTCCTGCAGTTTGTTCTTGCTTCCTCCTAAGGGGCCTGGAAATCTGAAATCTCAGAAGATAAAGGAGGCTCATGGCACAGGGAGTTTACAACAATGGTGATTCTATTTTGGAATAAAGAGACTATCTAGAGGAAGATAAGCAATTTCTGATTCTGTTATTTTTTTCCCATCAGACCAGACTGTAGAGCACAGATCTCTCTTGTAGCACAGCAACCTAGTAAGGGCATTTCAGGTGACAGGGAATTTAAAAAGTATGAGAGAGTAAGGAACATCTAAGTTTATTGAGATGCTGGCATACTGGACATAACACAGCTCTCACAAGCTAGATTGATGAATGTCCCCCTAAGCTCTCTTCATGGAGAGAAGCTTTCTGCCCTTACCTTGAAGAAGTAATACAGCCTTGCCCAAATCTTCAAAAAACAAAGCTCAGCATGACTGCCCAAGGGACTTTCAAAATCAGCAGGTCAGTAATCTGGACTTGTACATGCGAGAGGTTGGTCATCATAAAGATTATGAAATTTCTCCGTAAGGATAAACCAGTCTGATCACTAGTTCTTTCCCACTTCAATGCCATATTGACTGAAAAGCATGTTCCTATCTGATGTGGGTGATCTGGAGACACCAGGTGTAGGAGGATGGCTCTGTACCTTATTTTCATCAGCAATGTACCCTCTTCTTTACAGCCAAGTAATAGCTCTGAGGAACCCCTTACCCTTGGACACACTTATACGCACTTCAGCTCTCAGAGCTCCTCAAGCTCCAAAATCTTCCAGCTGATTGCTACAGCTAATGCTTTCCCTGCCCAGCTGTGTACATGCATTTTGCCACAACATCACGTTTGCGGTTTAAGAAAACAAGGATCATTCTTCCAGTTTAAAACAAAACAGCACAGCAAATCGTTAATCAAGCTGTAAGCCACCTCTTCTGCTATGAGTGAAATGCAGCAGCTGGAGGGGAGCAGTGCACCTGTGTCTCTTCCTCTGCTTCCTTGTGCCACTGCCCGTGAGTCTGCAAAGTATATTCTCAGCTGGGACTCAGAAGGAAACGGTTAGCTAAATATATGTGTATCAACATCTGTACTTCCCTTTACCAGCTTTATAAGTATGCTTTTGGCTCGTGATGCCATTGATAATTGCCATTTTTCAGTATTAAAACAACCTGATTGCCCGCAGTGTTAATCTGGAAAATAAGGAAAGCCCTCTCGTGGCATTAGCAGTCAGACTTTTGTTTTGGTTTAAGCCCTTCAGCCTAATCCTGTGGAATGACAAGCTTGCAGAGATAACGTCACTAATACTATGTATTATAGCAGTAGGATCCACAGGGCAATAAGCAGAGCCTAGTAACTTACACTGGGTTCAGGCCTCATGTTTGGCACATGGTCTCAATGTGATCACAGTTTCATGTTGCAAGCATGAATTTTTAACTATATTTCACAGTTCTGCTTAAGAAGATAGAACCACAAGATGTAGATGTTTTATACAAGACATTTGTTTTTTCTGCATATTAATAATTCTTATGTGACCAAAGGGAGTTAGTCCCAGTGAAACAGAATAGGTAACGATGTAACTGTGGTGTGGTTTAGAGCCAGAGGTTAGGATAATGGTGCTGCATGGATCATTGACTCACTGCTTGTTCTGTGAACCTGGACCAGCAGATGGATTTTTTCTTAATACAATCTGCCAAAGGAGTTTCTCCGACTTGTAATAATGTGCTGCACCCACGCAGCACGTGACACCCATAGGTACTCACACAGAGGAGTAAATTCCTTCCTGTATCTTAACACGGTATTCCTAGCACAGAAAGTCACATCCTGTTCAGTCTGTGATCCACTCCAAACCTCTATCACATGCATCATATGGAAAAAAAGTGAATTTATTCTGCTCAGTCCTTTCTGTTCCATAATCTATGTGAGAAGAGATGGACATTCATAAATATGCGTAATATCAGAAAATAGGGTGGTGAGGCAGTGGCACAGCTGCCCAGAGAAGCTGTGGGTGCCCCATTCCTGGAGGCACTTAAAGCAATGTTGGATGGGGTCCTGGACAGCTGAGCTGATGGAGGGCAGCCCTGTCCACAGCAAGGGGTTGGAACTGAGTGTTTTTTGAGGTCCCTTTGAACCCAAACTATTCTGTGATTCCATGAAATCTTGTAGGTGAACGATTCACAAGCGAACTGAAGAACTCAGTGCTACCAGGCAGTTTCTACTGAACAACTATGTCTGTACTCTTCATCAAAAATGTCAAAGGATAACTGTGAAGAAGAAACTGAAATGGCAACAGTGGATCCAAAAAGATTTTTTTGAATTAAGATACAGTAGGATGAGGTGGGGTGAAAGAGCTTCTTCCTCCTACATCACCACCCTCTACTTTCTTCCCTTGAACAAAAGCCAACAGAAACCAGCTTTTCCACACACCACTGTCAGTTAACTGCAGAATGGATTATTAGGGCGATGAATGTGTGAACTACCCATGTAAAACATCTCAGAAGGAAGCCTGGATAGGTTAGGCTACATAAACAGCACATCTCTGACTCCAAATTACTCTTCTCATCAATAATAACTGTTTACTGTCCAAGGAAGCCTGAAAAACTGCTTGATATATGATCAAACCCTCAGAGTGTTACATTTTTACATTCTAACTGAAACACAAAGACTGTTTTAAAACAGGAGAGGTACCTGCAGGAAAGTTAATGTTTAGTCTTTTATTCTATTACTATGAATTTCCAGATGTGATCTGCATTTCACATTTATGCTTCCACACTTTGAAATGAGCGATGCTATGGGTTTTTTGGAAGGTGTGTTCTTTTTCTGATTTTCTATTTCTGGACATTTAGGGATTGCTGCTGAGATTAGGTTTACAGATTTACAAATGGGTTATCATTTGTCTGCACTGTCCTTGTGCTTTATTCCTCCTGCAAAACAGGTGCATCTTCTGCTCAGCATGTCATACATATTTCCTTTGGGAGAGTGGGTGGTTCTCACAAAAAA